AAAAACAAAAGGAAGTTGATGATACTTTATACAATGTTTATGTAGGGGAAGGGACAAGGGTTGCAGTTCATTCGATAGGGATTGTGAATTTAAAGTTAACTTCTGGTTTTGTTTTAAAATTAAAAGATGTGCTCTATGTGCCAAAGATGAGAAGAAACTTAATTTCTGCCTCTAAAATTGTCAAGGACGGTTTTGCTTTCTTTGCTGATGATGAGTGTTTAAAAATCTTTAAAAAGAACTATCTAGATTCTGTTTTAGGTACTGCCCTTCTATTTGACAATCTGTGGAGTTTAGAATGTTCAATAGAGTCAAATAATCACTCAATTTTGAATGTTGGTTTCAAAAGAACGCTAGGAACTGACACTTCTTATATTCTTTGGCATAAGAGGCTAGGGCACATTTCTAAAGAAAGAATAATGAAACTTTCAAAGGCAGAATTGATTCTAAAATTAGATTTTACTTCTGCAAATGAATGTGTTGACTGTTTAAAGGGAAAAATGACTAATTTCAGAAAAATGGATGCTAAGAGAAGTCAAGGGCTATTAGAGATCATACACACTGACATTTGTGGTCCTTTCCCAGTCAAAACAATTTGTGGTCATAGGTATTTTGTCAACTTCATTGATGATTTTTCTAGGCTCGGTTATACTTTTCTTATTACAGAGAAATCAGAAGCCCTTAGTTGTTTTGTCAAATATAGAACAGAAGTAGAAAAACAGTTAGGGAAGGTCATAAAAATTGTTAGATCAGATAGGGGAGGTGAATACTTTGGCAGGTACACTGAATCCGGGCAACAAAAGGGTCAATTTGTGCTCTATCTCGAGAAGAATGGGATTGTGGCGCAGTACACCACACCTGGAACGCCTCAACAGAATGGTGTTTCTGAAAGAAGAAACAGGACCCTCATTGGTATGGTGAGAAGTATGATGTCAAGATCAAAATTGCCAGGATTCCTGTGGGGAGAGGCTTTGAAAACAGCTAATCATATATTGAATCAAGTTCCAAGCACGGCAGTGTCTACCACACCTTATGAGTTATGGCATGGGAGAGTTCCCAGTTTTACTTATTTTCATGTTTGGGGTTGTAAAGCAGAAGCTAGGTTCTATAATCCTAATGAAAGAAAGCTGGATCCAAGGACTCAGTCATGTTACTTCATTGGTTATCCTGAGAAATCAAAAGGATACAGGTTCTATATCCCTCAAAGTCACACTCGGATCCAGGAAACAAATAATGCAGTTTTTTTGGAGGATCAAGATGTCTCACATTTGTCAAGGGAAACTTTTGTATTTAAAGAGATACATCAAGATGGTGATGACCATGTGGCAATGGACTACACTCAAGTTCCATTGTTTTCTAATCCATTGACGCCTGCTACAGAGGATATGAGTGAAGAATTAGGGGTTCAAGTTGACAACACTGCGGAGGTCGATCAATTAGCACAACCTGAAATATTGACTTCCTTTGAAGAATCACTAGCATCAGTTCCATCTCATATTGAAATTAGAAGATCCACAAGAGCTCGAAAATCCACTGAGACAAGTGATTATGTGTATCTGCAAGAGTGTGAGTTCGACATAGGTGACAGTGATGACCCTCTCACATATACTCAAGCAATTGAAAGTCCTTAATCAGTTCTATGGAATAATGCTATGAAGGATGAGTTAGAATCTATGTTCAAAAATCAAGTATGGACACTGGTAGATTCAAACTCTGAAATTCGGCCAATAGGTTGCAAGTGGGTATATAAAACTAAAAGGGATGCTAATGGAAGAATTGAGAGATATAAAGCACGGTTGGTTGCTAAGGGGTTTACTCAGAGAGAGGGAATCGACTATAATGACACTTTCTCTCCAGTTTCCTCTAAAGATTCTATGCCAGTTATAATGTCCTTGGCTGCTTATTTTGATCTTGAGTTACATCAAATGGATGTAAAAACAGCTTTTCTTAATAGCGATCTACAAGAAGACATTTATATGAAGCAACCTGTTGGATTTGTTGAAAGGGGGAAGGAAAGTATGGTATGCAAGCTCAATAAGTCAATATACGGCTTAAAACAAGCATCAAGGCAATGGTACTTGAAATTCGATCAAATTGTCTCTGCACAAGGTTTTGTAGAAAACAAGTTGGATGATTGCATATATATTAAATTCTCAGGATCCAAATTCATTTTCTTGGTACTTTATGTTGATGACATCCTTCTTGCAAGCTCATGTCCTCAATTGCTTCAAAGTACTAAAAGAATGCTCAGTGACAACTTTGAGATGAAGGACCTTGGTGAAGCACATTATGTATTAGGAATAGAGATTGTTCGAGATAGGCAAAAGAGGCTTCTCGGTTTATCTCAAAAGGCATATATTGACAGAATCTTGATGAGATTTCATATGGAAAGTTGCAATAGTGGTCAAGTTCCGGTCAATAAAGGTGATAAGTTCTCGAAGAGTCAATGTCCAAAAACTGATTTGGAAGCAAAGAGAATGCAAGCTAAACCTTATGCTTCTTTAGTTGGAAGTCTCATGTATGCAACTATATGTACAAGGCCTGATATTGCCTTTATTGTTGGCTTGCTAGGCAGATTTCAAGCAAATGCAGGTGAAGCACATTGGGTAGCAGCCAAGAAGGTTCTGCGATACTTGCAGAGAACCAAGAATCATATGTTAGTATATGGTTGAACCAATTCTTTGGAACTTATGGGATATACAGATTCGGATTTGGCTGGAGATGTGGATGATAGGAAGTCAACTGGGGGTTATATCTTCATGCTTAATGGAGGGGCAGTTTCATGGAAAAGTGCAAAACAAACTGTTATAGCTACATCTACTATGGAGGCTGAGTTTGTAGCTTGCTTTGAAGGCATGAAGCAAGCAGCATGGTTAAAGAATTTCTTAACAGATTTAAAGGTTGTAAATTCGATCCAGAAGCCTATTAAGATGTTCTGTGATAACAACTCGGCTGTATTCTTTGCCAAGAACAATAGGCGTACTTCAGCTTCACGCTTGATGGATGTCAAATTTCTTAAGGTCAGAGAGCAAGTCAAGAAAGGAACTATCGAAGTACAGCACATAAGCACAACAATTATGCTTGCTGATCCGTTAACTAAGGCACTGCCTGTTAGAGAATTTAGAAAGCATGTTTCTTTGATGGGAGTGCTAGAAAGTTTTGATCAGTGGGAGTAATCAAGCATGTTTTGAGGCTTTGGAGTTGCAGCTGTGAAGAATAGATGAATAAGTGCAGCTCTGACAAACTGAGGTTAAGTTATAGCTAGTTTGCTAGTTTGATTTTGTGTTTTAATAAGTGTCTTTGTCCCGAGACTGAATGCTTAAAGTTTTGAAAGTATCGTAGTATTGGGAATAGACTATGTTAGAAGTTTTGATTCATTTGATACTTTGAAAAAACAGTTTGTCTGTTTTAAAGTTTATAGTTAATGAATTTTATTTCAGTCTTTAAAATGTTACTTTTCAATGAAGATTGTTATGTGTTGTGATCTTTTGAAAAGTGGGAGCATAATCTGGACTGTTTATGATTGTTTTAAATCATGAGTCATATTTACAGATTGAGTACAAGTGAGCTTAGATTTAATACTGCATTTTGGTTGCAGTCTAAGAATCTTGGTTCCTGTATTTTGAGATGTAACGAGACATTGGTCATGATGGTGGAATCTTGGATAAGGCTATGTGATCACTTCTTATGATTGGTAAAAGCTATGTTTGATTTTGTCTCATGTTCAAGTGGGAGAATGTAAGAGTATAAACATGAGATAAGATGATCGGGCATTAGCTATTCCAATCCAATAAGGATAAGAAAGTCTTATAGAAGATGAATATCAGTTCTTGTCAATAAAGGATTTTATTGCAGTAAGTAAACTGATATAGGAAAACACAAGTTGTTTCCCATAAGGATTTTAATAGGGAATCCACATGTTAATATGAGAAGGATATGTGTATATGTATATATATGGCATTCTCTCCTCTCACAGGTGCGTGCTCTTGTTGGAACTAAGTCCTATTCTTGGTTAGAGTAAAAAGCATCCTGACAGAGAGAAGAAGAGTTGCTGCGTTCAGATCAATAGTGCACACCCATGGCTGTTTCCAATGGAAATTCTTCAAGTTAGTATGTTTTACTTTATAAGGATTAGTGTTCTGTGTTTTGATCATGGTAGTGGTTTATGTAACTGAATCTGATTGCTGGAATAAGTCTAACATGTAGTCGTTGGGTTAAATTTCAATAGCACGAATCATTTGATGAGTGGGCTCAGTTCCTTTTGGTCCAGAGAGGATCTGGATCCATACTTGAAACACACAACATTTATTATATATTGCATTACAACCATTAAAAAATTATTGAATGAATTTAATAGTTGTTGTCAAATTTGATAGCAAAAGGTTTTGCCTTTGATTAACTCAGCGCCATGCAAAAAATAGAAGGCTCGGTTGGAGAGAATTTGCTATCATTTTCTACTGTTGTATGTCTATGGGATAGTTTTAACATCTCCTTTAGAAATGCTCTTATTCTCTCTCCCCTCCTTTCTCTACTTCTTTCTTCCACAACATATTCACAGCGGATTCCTTTTGAGTGTAGAGAAGAAAAATGTTAAAGTGACTCTTTCAAAAGCGGGACTCTCTATCAATATGTCATCTTGTGCCAAATGTCTTACCCTATTGGCACGAAAATTGACATAAAATGTAAGATGATAGAGAGTCCCTGAAGAATCTTACTTTGAGAGAGTTCCCTTATCATTTCTTATGCGGACAAAGAAATGACACACAATTTGAGATGGTTTAGGACTTAGGGTTTAGGGTTTAGATTTTTTTATTAATTTCGTCCTTTTCTTCGTAAACATGGTTGCCTTTTTCTTAAAAATTGAATCATTGGTAGATAAGAATCATTGTATCACAGTATAATCTTGTGAATAATAGTTAGTCAATTTCTCTAAGAGACAACAAAAATGACCTGTATGCACTTCAAGTTAGAGAAAATATTGTGGTGGAAAAGAGAAAATTATATATTTTGTGATAAAAAAACTAAATACGTTATATGATTACAACAAATTATAAGTACAAATCATACAAACTAGATGAATATGTACAGAAAATCTAAACGAAACTCTAGATGTATATGTTACAGAAAGAATCAGACTAAACTACTGAGTATCAAAACTAGAAGAACAATACAAAAAAAATACAGCTTTAACTATTCTGGTGAAGGTTCCTTTTTGGTTGGTGATGTTTCTTCTTGGGTATCCGGTGATGGTTCCTTTTTCGTATCCGGCGATGGTTCCTTTTTGGTACTATAGGTAGTGCTTCTCTTTATAAGATCTCCGAATCTTCGTAGCAATGCTTTCTTTTTCCTTGAATTTTCACCCTGAGTTCCATCTAGATGATCACAATCATCTGAATGGAATCCTTCTCCATCGTCTGTGAACGTAGAAGAAGAGTTTCTGCGGTGATGTGTAGCTGACCCCGGAGAGGCTACCTCAAATATCGACCCTTTGAGAGCCTCATCTAATTCAATCTCATCATCGCCGTCAACAACAACTTCTTCATGCGTGTTTGAAATTTTGAGCTCCTTAAGATTGAAACTGAAAACTTTGCCAAATATGCTTCCATTTTGAGATGTTGTAGTGTCCTTCTCATCCTTCGACGATGTTTTCTCTTTATCCTCCTTTTTTGCATCACCCGCTAATGGCGGTTTCTCTTTACTCGTCGTATCCTCCTTTTTCACATCCTTTGGTGGTTTTTTCTCCTTGACCTCCTTCTTCAACTCCTTTGATGATGATGTTTTCTCCTTAGCCTCCTTCTTCGACTCCTTTTCTTTTGATGGCGTTTTATCTTTCTCCTCTTTCTTGCAGTCTTTCTCCTTTGACGGCGTTTTCTCTTTCTCCTCTTTCTTGCAATCATTTTCCTTTGTTGGTATTTTCTCTTTTTCCTCATTCTTTGACGATTCAATAAGCAACCGTTTTAACTCCTTAATATTTTCATGAGCTGCTATTTCATTTACCCTATAATTTTCGTTTTCTTGAGAAAGGAAATTCAAGGCCTCCTCTTTTCCAGCCAGAGTATCTTTGAGTCGAGAATTTTCGGCTTGAGCAATGGCAGTAGCTTCTTTTGCAACATTTGCTTCATTTAACGCCTGCTTAAGTATATCGCGCAACTTTCTATTTTCTTCCTTCGATAACATGGCTCTATTATCTGTCTCTAGAACCAACTCATGCAATCTAAAGTTCTCTTGTTGTGCAGCACATCTGTCCTCTTCGGCTCTTCTAATACAATTAACAAAGCCGGTTTCTTTCCCACTCCATGCTAAAACTGACTCTTCATGTTCTATTTTCAACCTGGCAGCAATGTTTTTGTGTCTTTCGGCTTCTTTCCTTGCTTCATCCAGTAGTATTTTATGACTTTCCTCGTTGCTTTTTAACATCGCATTTAGATGTTCTTCTTGTGCTCTTGAGTGCTCCAACTCTGCTTGGCTCATGCAAAGTTTATCCTTCAACTGGTTGGCTTCTGTCGCAACTTCTTTCAGTGCAAAAGCCAGATCATCCAACGCCGTTTTCCCATTTTCTTCGGCTTCAGTTGCCAACTTTAATTCATGTTTAAGTACTTTCATCTCGTCAAGCAACTTCTCAACCTTCGAGGTAGAGAGTTGCTCCTTTTTTTGGACATCAACCAGATTCTCCCTTGCCATCTGAAGCTCAGACTTGAGACTCTCTAATTCCTCCTTCATGGAAATATTATATTCGGGCTGATCATGATGCTGAGATGCACTACTATCTTGACTACTTTCATCGGATTCATCTTCGCATTTATCCAATTTCTTGTGAAAGGAGGCAATCTCAAACTTTGCCCCTTCAAGTAGAGCCTTGGTCTGCTCAAGTTGGTTTGTTTGGGTGATCAATGAATCAAGAATTCTTGCTTCTGATTGCTTCCTTTTATCTATTTCCATTTCCAATTCTTGAATTCTCTCGTCACTTTCAGACAATAAATCCTTCGTGTCAGCCTCCGAGGTTTCCATCTTCTCTGCCAGTTTGAGCTTCAATTCCTGAATTCTTCCTTGACTTTCTGACAATAAAGACTTTGTGTGAGCCTCGGAGGCGCTAACATTCTCTGCTAGTTTGAGCTCCAAGTCCTGAATTTTTCCTTCACGTTCTGACAGTAAAGCCTTTGTATGAGCCCCAGAGTTTTCCATGTTCTCTGCCAGTTTGAGCTCCAATTCCTGAATTCTTTCGTCACTTTTGAGCAATAAAGCCTTCGTTTGAGCCTCAGAGGTTTCCGCATTCTGTGCCTCTGCGTTAGAAAACTTCATATACTCTGCCAGTTCGAGCTCCAATTCCCGAATTCTTTCGTCACTTTTGAGTAATAAAGCCTTCATGTGAGGATCAGAGTTTTCCGTTTTCTCTGCCAGTTTTAGCTCCAAATCACGAACTTTTTTTTCACATGTGAATAACAAAGCCTTTGTGTGAGCTTCTGCCTCGGTGGACTTCATATTCTCCGCCAGTTTCATCTCCAATTCGCGAATTCTTTTTTTACTTTCGGACAGTAAAGCTTTCGTATGAGCATCGGAGATTTTCGCATGGTCTGCTTTGATCTCCAACTCCCGAATTCTTTCTTCGTTTTGAGACACTAAACTCTTTGCTTGAGCTTCAAACTTTTTTACTTTCTCACTCAACTTGAGCTCCAAATCTTTGGCCTTCCCTAACTCGAGTTTCAAAGACTCAATAATCTCCTCTTTGCTCTTCAGTTCTTGCCTTGCATTCGACAACAACTCCGTCGTCAAATTTAATTCTGAGTCGTTCCTGCCATCGCTCTGAGTTACCAATTCTTCACTAAGCCTCACGTTGGCCTCGTCTGCCACTTTTTTCATCTCTCGATGTTCATCAACAGCTCCATCTCTTTCTACCTCCACTGCTTGCAATTGCGCCTTCACCTTCTTCAACTCCTCTTCTGGTTGCTCCATTTTTTGTTGTTGCATCTCCCAAAGCTCCAAGGGTGATCTGTTTCACAAAAAGCATCCTTCATCAACTAAAATAAAAATTTAACGGAAACCAAGTAAATAAATTCCAGAAAAATTTGCATGGTCAATCCCTTGGATCCTTCAAAATAGTTATCCAGATGAATGTGAAGTTCTTACAAAAAAATTCAATAAAACCTTGTTCTAAATCAAAGTGAAAAATTAGGAAATATAACTAATCGAAGTTTGGTAAATTGTAAAAATATTATATATGGAAATGTATAATGGTTTTGTGTAAATTATGGTTCTTGTAACTTAGTGTATCATACTAATCGTATTAAGTTGCATATACAATTTTTTTAACCATCATTATACGACATTTTTTAGACAAAAACAACGTTCATAATGCATGATAAAAAAATTTCTACTATTCTTAATTGTATTAAATCATGTGAAGGTCTTAATTAAGTTTCACCCAAAACTCTCAAAATTCCAGGGCCGACCTTGGAGACAATCTTACACATCAAGAAATTTTTTTATAAAATAAAAAGTTAAAAATCAATGAAATGGTGGAGAAAAAACTTGACACAACAATGGTAAAAGCCTAAGAAATGGTGAGATGAACATAAAAGAAAACATCGGAAATTGGAGAAAAATTAAGCAAAGTACGTACCGTAATTAGCCTTGAATTGCCATGTTTGATGCTGATCAAGAAGTCGTAGGAGCTGGCAATTTCTGTATTTTCTGATGCCACTAAAATGTAGGGAGAAAGGGCAGAAACGTAGAGAGAGAAGCTATTTGGTGGGTGTTGGAAGTGTTTTCTTAAGCTTAATTATAACAAATCACATTGTATTGTAAACACAAGGCCGTTTTATCTTCAACATCAAACACTTGTGCGTGGCAGCCATCACTAACCCTCACACTATTTATTGACCGAAAAATAAGAAATACCTCTCACTATTGGACATCTCTTGCCCCTCCTTCCTATGCCATTCGATATATCAAAGTCGTTGTTTATGTTTATCTCCGTACCGTCCAATTCCGTTAAGTTTTCCATTATTGTCTATGCACTTTTATCACAAATGGTATGTAGCTAACTCATCATTTTTGTTTTTTGTTTTCTGTTTTCTAGGTGAAGCTGTGTAAACAATGCAGAACGGCCATATATGTCCATGCACATTGAGTAGCCGTCCTTTCTTTTGGCCTATATAGTGAGAATCGTCGTCTGTAATGCTGCTGTACGTACTTGCGTCGTTAACATGGCTAATTTCCTAGTCTCTGGGCTGGGTGCTTTTGCCGGCTCTTATCAAGCATCCCGCTTTTACCATTCCACAGCTGCATGCGCGTTTCTAATCGACCACATGAGCATTAGGAGAATAGCAAAGTTGGACTGGACCGGTTGACTTGGGGCCGAAACGAGAGCACAGATTTTCATTTGATGAAAAGGATTGTCCCTGTGCTTGCTTCCTATACCTGGTTTTCAACCTAGTCTAGTCTTTTTATTAAAGAGTCAACAAATGCATCTCTTCAAATTGTATCCGAGTGTTAGGGTCAGTTTGGGATTGCTGTATTTAAAAAAAATAATAATAATTGTTTATGTTGTGCTTTATAAATAATCAGTTGTAAAGTAAAACAAATGAGCGTTTGATTAACTGTATTTTAAAGTATTGTGAGTTTGAAAAGCAGCGTAAAAGCGTTTAGAGTAAGAATGACAATAGCAATGGCGGGGACAATGGTGGTGGTTGCAATGGTGGTGATGGTAGCAGCAATGGTGGAGGAACGGTGGTGGTGCTAATAGTGGGATGTGATGGTTGGGGTGCAGAGGTAACAATGGCTATAGGGGCAATAGTAGCGCCGGTGGTGCGGCTATGGTTTTGGTGGCAACGGTGGCGATGGCGGCAATGATGGTGGTGACAATGGTGGTAGTGGAGGTTCTGGTTGTGGTGATAGTGGTGGTGGTTATCGTTATGGTGGACATGGCGGTGGTGGTGGTAATGATGATGTGGCAATGGTTATAGTGGCCGTTGTTGTTGACACCTGGCATTCGTGTCGTGTTTCTCGTGTTCGTGTCGTTTTCGTGTCATACCCGATAGCTTAACGGGTCGTGTCGTGTAATACCTATTAAAGTAAACGGGTAATATGACCCGACCCAAAATCAACCCGTTACTATTATCAGGTAATATGACCCGACTGTTACCTGTTAAGAAAATTATATTTTAAATCAATAAAAATGAAAAGAAAAACATAATTTGACCCAAAAAAATGTAAAACATAATACTAAATTAGTATATACATACTAAATTTCGGAGTTGACCCCTTAATGAAAGTTGTAAAGCTTTTCATTACGAGTGATTACATTTTTCACACTTATTATTATTAATTTTTCACTCAAATAAATAACATTGTTCATGAGATTTGGAGGGTTTTAAAAATCTACACTTATTTATACTTTCATCAAGTATAACATAAGATTTTATGGTATCAACTAGTGTAACTATTTTAAATTGAAGATCGAATTCATTCATTGTATTCATATAGGGTCAATGAGTGTAGCTGTAAAAAAATCATCAAAATCGGAGTTAAAATAACCGTTAAATCGTAAGTTTTCGTTTATAACCGTCGAAAAGTTTTGTCTCATTACTTGATCTCTGAATGTTTGTTTTTTTGCAATTTTTGGCGTATGCAATCTCGAAGCATATATAAACAAGTTTGACGGTTGGATCGTTGAAATTAGTTTCGTATGATGCGTATCCCATCAAAACGATAGATTCACTAACACTTAAGAGTTTATTTATACTTTCATCAAGTATAACATAAGATTTTGTGATATCCACTAGTGTAAATATTTTAAATTGAAGATCGAATCCATTCATTGTATTCATTTAGGGTCAAGGAGTGTAGCTGTAAAAAATCATCAAAATCGGAGTTAAAATAACCGTTAAATCGTAATTTTTCGTTTATAACCGTCGAAAAGTTTTATCTTATTATTTGATCTCTGAATGTTTGTTTTTTTGCAATTTTTGGCGTATGCGATCTCGAAGCATATATAAATAAGTTTGACGGTTTGATCGTTGAAATTAGTTTCGTAGGATGTGTATCCCATCAAAACGATAGATTTACTAACACTTAAGAGTTTATTTATACTTTCATCAAATATAACATAAGATTTTGTGGTATCCACTAGTGTAAATATTTTAAATTGAAGATTGAATTCATTCATTGTATTCATTTAGGGTCAAGGAGTGTAGCTGTAAAAAAATCATCAAAATCGGAGTTATAATAACCGTTAAATTGTGATTTTTCGTTTATAACTGTCGAAAAGTTTTGTCTCATTACTTGATCTCTGAATGTTTGTTTTTTGCAATTTTTGGCGTATGCGATCTCGAAGCATATATAAACAAGTTTGACGGTTGGATCGTTGAAATTAGTTTCGTAGGATGCGTATCACATCAAAACGATAGATTCACTAACACTTAAGAGTTTATTTATACTTTCATCAAGTATAACATAAGATTTTGTGGTATCCACTAGTGTAAATATTTTAAATAGAAGATCGAATTCATTCATTGTATTTGTTTAGGGTCAAGGAGTATAGCTGTAAAAAATCATCAAAATCGGAGTTAAAATAACCGTTAAATCGTGATTTTTCGTTTATAACCGTCAAAAAGTTTTGTCTTATTACTTGATATCTAAATGTTTGTTTTTTGCAATTTTTGGCGTATGCGATCTTGAAGCATATATAAACAAGTTTGACAGTTGGATCGTTGAAATTAGTTTCTAAGATGCGTATCCCATCAAAACGATAGATTCACTAACACTTACGAGTTTATTTATACTTTCATCAAGTATAACATAAGATTTTGTGGTATCCACTAGTGTAAATATTTTAAATTGAAGATTGAATTCATTCATTGTATTTATATAAGGTCAAGGAGTGTAGCTGTAAAAAATCATCAAAATCAAAGTTAAAATAACCGTTAAATCGTGATTTTTCATTTATAACTGTCGAAAAGTTTTGTCTCATTACTTGATCTTTGAATGTTTGTTTTTTGCAATTTTTGGTGTATGCTATCTCGAAACATGTATAAACAAGTTTGACGGTTGGATCATTGAAATTAGTTTCATAGGATGTGTATCCCATCAAAACGATACATTAACTAACACTTAAGAGTTTATTTATACTTTCATTAAGTATAACATAAGATTTGTGGTATCCACTAGTGTAAATATTTTAAATTGAAGATCGAATTCATTCATTGTATTCATATAAGGTCAAGGAGTGTAGCTGTAAAAAAGCATCAAAATCGGAGTTAAAATAACCGTTAAATTGTGATTTTTCGTTTATAACCGTAGAAAATTTTTGTCTCATTACTTCATCTCTGAATGTTTGTTTTTTGCAATTTTTGGAGTATGCGATCTCGAAGCATGTATAAACAAGTTTGACGGTTGGATTGTTGAAATTAGTTTTGTAGGATATGTATCCCGTCAAAACGATAAATTCACTAACACTTAAGAGTTTATTCATACTTTCATCATTTTGATGGGATACGCATTGATGTTATACTTAATGAAAGTATAAATAAACTTTAAGCGTTAGTGAATCTTATCGTTTTGATGACTTGGAATAAATATATTAATTATTTATATATTTTAAGTGTTAATTAGACTATGTTTCAATTAGTATGTGATGATATTTAATAATAAAATTACATTTATGTTTTTTATTACATATTTTATTTTTATTCAAGTTAAAATGTTATAAGAGATAAAAAATAAAAAAAAATAAAAAAATAAAAAAAGCTGGTTATTTGTTTTCTTTGGGTTAAACATTAGGCAGGAAATGGATGGATATAGGTTGCAAAATTTCCCAAACATTAGGTGGGAAATGGATGAAACTCTTGAAATATTAGGTGGGAAATTAATTAATATAATTTTTTTATGTTTTTGGTATTTTTAAATTACTTGATATTTTTATTTTTAATGTGTTTTATGATTTTTAATCTCAATCTTTGCCTATAATA